AAAGACCACAACATGCTTTGTAGAGCAGTTTGTTTGTTCTAGACGTGGCGTTACAAACCTTTTCTCACTACAGACCATCTCACGCATTTATGAAGTCGCTTCAAAGTTGCAGCCCAAAACATCTGTAGAAATAATATATTTTAATGAGGTACTGAGATGATGAAATATGAAAAGCTGGTTTCATTTTGATTTTGCACACCACTATGAGACTATCTTATCATTTCCAGTTTTAAACAATAATAAAACAGCGTTTTTTTGGGTGTCGTTTATTTTCTTACCTCACAAGCGTGTGTGTGCACGTGAAACACGTGCAAAATTGTGTGGGTCAACAATACCTTTGAGGAGCAACAATCTAGATATTGTCCATGACAAAATTGCATTATACACACACCACTAAAACACACAATCAACAGCAGATCAAAGCAGCAGGTCTCCCCGTTTGGGGGCGGATACTCAGAAAACACAAAAAGGATGTGAGCACCTATATGATTTACCATAAGAACAAAGTGTGTATGTCATCTATAACCAGTGAGTTACATTATTTGTTTGTGTTTGTTAGTTTGTCCTTAAAGATATGGATGTGTGTGTGTGTGTGTGTGTGTGTGTGTGTGTGTGTGTGTGTGTGTGTGTGTGTGTGTGTGTGTGTGTGTGTGTGTGTGTGTGTGTGTGTGTGTGTGTGTGTGTGTGTGTGTGTGTGTGTGTGTGTGTGTGTGTATGTATGTATATATGTATATATGTGTGTGTGTGTAAATGAACATGTGTGTGGGTATACATGTTCTAATGTGTTTTTAGGTATTTTTATTCTCATTTATTGTGGTTGTTGTATGTTTTAGAGAGCGAACATCTACCGAAGCCAAATTCCTTGTAAATGTACTTTTACTTGGCCAATAAATCTGAAATCTGATCTGAATCTGAAAGCACCAAAAATTCTGCTAAAACTAAAGTTCTACGTAACTTTACACCAGAAGGCCATTTCCTAACTCTTATATGTCAACCACTTGAAAGAGCATATTTTAAACCCTCAATCCTGTGGAAATTCCAGGTGTTCGTGTATTTTTGACTAAATATCCTGAAATGACTTTTTGGTTTTGGCGTCACATCAAAGTTAGGGATAAATTCCAGGGTCGGTTCTAGGAGGGGTCCAGGGATGGCCAGTGCCACCCTGACAGCAACTTTTGACCTCCCGGTGCCCCGCACCCTGTTGAGGACGGAGCCCGAGCATGAATAAGTTTGGGTTTTTCACCCACTCCAGCAGTTCAGGTTCTCGCTGCCTCAGTCTAAAGCTTGGTTTATGCTTCTGCGTCAGCTCCACAAGGGAGAGACATGCATGGATTGACAGAAGCGTTTTGCCTTCAGACTTCTCCGTCTCCTGGGGAGTGTTGCAAAGCAATTCCCTGCCAGGACAACCAAGGGCGTAGCGCTGTTTTGGGTTATCCTGTCATATATCCGGTCCAAGATAGTGCATTTTATTGTGTTTATGTATTTCAGAGACTTTTTAATATGGACACATTTGTCCCTCCCGCTCCTCCACTTCATGCACTTGCCACATCTAAACCCACGTTTCCCATCATTTCCGTCCACAAATAAAACGCTTACTGCCTATCTTTTCACTCCTCCAGTCATGGGTGAATAAACATTCATGTTTATTAGTTTTTCCACAAGGTATTCTTCAATCTGTTCCACGTCTGCCGCTGGATATCTTTGTTTTTGAGGGCGCAATGGCAGTGCTGTTGACAAAAGCTGCGTCCTGACCAATCACAAGCTTGCATTCTCAGTCTCGTTTGATGGATGTTTAGAAAAGTGGGAACAGAGGTGCCTATTGGGGCCAGTGGGGGAGCTGGCTCCCTGGAGGGCTTAGGCCAGCCAGCCATTCCTCCCCATCCCCATACATTTTTCTCCTCCTGCTCCTTCACATCATCACACAATCATGCACATAGGACCTTGGGGAGTGGGCAAGTCAGGGGGTGCAGGTATGGATCCCATTTCCGCATTCCTGTGGCAACCTTCCCCCCAATTTTATTTGTACCTTAAACACTTCCACCAATGACATTCCATGCAAACACACACTTAGGGCCATTTGGCAATGGGATCTTTCAGCCTCATCCTGAGTGGCAGTGCCCACTTCCAATTTTAAACTGCACTTAGACACAGAGGGCTGTGGGGGGAAGTGGGGTTGTGTGCTTGCATCAGCTGACGTAGGCCAGATGGTGCCTGCACTGTCTGCTCACCACAGTCATGGAATACACCTCATCAACATGCACCAACACTATATTGGAGCAGGTGGAGGGAGACTAGGGGTCTTAGAACACCTCTGTTGTCGCTTGGCTTCCGGGGCTGGAGGCTAGGAGGGGGAGCTGGCCATCATGTTGTGGTCTGGGGTGACAGGATGCTTTTGTCAGAGTTGAGCGGGGACCTGCTCATCATCACCCCCAGCAGAAAGGGGCGAACTCTGGGAACCGGTGATGGTTGTACCCATTGTGCAGCAGTACCGGGACCAGAGTGAATAGGGTGTGTATGGGAAGCGTGAGTGGGTGTCTAGCGTTCATTTTTGTAAGTCTTAGGTTGTATTTGTATGTGGGAGCATGAGGGAGGGAGTCTGTCTGTGTATGGGTGTATATGTCAGGTGGGGTCTTGGACTCCTCCCCTCTCCTCAGACTTCTTGTCCAACTACACATCTTCGCTTACCCTCCCCCACATTTGGTGTGGAGTGTGGTGCCCTGGTCTGCCTGAGTGTTCACGGCTCCTGGGTCAGGGGGTTAAGATTTTTGGAGTCTGCCTGATCGATCCCGGTGGCTGCCTGGTGGGATCTGAGTCCCTGGGCTCTGTTGGGTCCCCAGCGGGACTGGTTGCCCCTGGGTCCCGGGTCGCTGGGGGTGGGAGGCTGCGGGAGGGCCAGTGGGCTTGCCGCTGATATCTCCCGGGACTCTGCCGGCTGTTGGTTGTGGCCCCCCGGGGTAATCCTCTGCACCTCTCGAGAGGGGGCTGGGGCTTTTCTGGTTACAGTCTCCCTGGGGTCCCTGCGCTCTGGGACAGCTCCTGGTTCTATGGGACTTGGAGCTCCTTCCATCTCATACACATCTTTGGGGGGCAGATCTGTGGCCCCTCACACTCTCTATTGGACGCTCCTATAGAGAAACCGTATGTAAACAAGCGCGTGTACACACACAGGTGCTCACATGGTGCTCTCAAAAGTATGGGCTTGGGCACGTTCAACACACGTCTTAAGGCTGTGGTTGGCACTAAATGCACTGTGATTTATTATCGTGTGATTGTTCAGTAAAACAATGTTGATTTTATATTTCCTCATCAGGCTGACACAGTGACAGTTTGCTCTAGTTCTATTGCTGTGTGTTGTTTTTCTCTTTCTGCAGGTCTAGAAGCAGACTCTTGTTCATCATTGATTGTTTATTTTTGTGGAAACCAGATCGTTTTGGTGCTCCCCCTGGGTATGTTGAGGGCTTCCAGGAGCTCACTTTAGCTCACCTGTAATTCGAATGCTGCATATAGCACAAGTTGGTCGCGTGAGTTGCCGGATCCTAGCAGACAGTTGCCGGAACGGTCCTTTCAAAATAAAATAGTTCCCGGATCTTGTTCTGGCAAGATCCAGCTCAAATTAAGCCCTGGTCTCCGTAAAAGTGTTATGGTGGTAGAACGAGCAGGAGGGAATGCTAGAGCCGAATCGAACGAATTGGATGCGTGGAGCGGCACATCAGGTAAGTTTTTCTCCTGGCGCTGCTGATATTATCAGTGCCCGGTGTGCTAGTGGTGTTTTTGTGAGGATAAAACATTCAGGCAGCCCACCTTGGTACAGAATTGCAAGGGAAAACTCTGATAAATACACTTGAGCAAATTTTTTGCTTTTAGTTTACATTATTAGAGTAACATGTTTTATTGTTTTGAAAGTATGATGTCATTTCCTGTCATGTTTACAAAGATTACTGCACATTATACAGATTTGTTTACTATATTAATACTGAGGGGCACAATTTCAGTCTGTCAGTGGTCATTTTGATATTTTCCATTAATTATTGTTTACTAAAACAATTATAACTAGACTTTTATTGCTTCAAAGTGTGAAATGCGAATTTATCACATTTCTTTACAGTTTCAAGTAGCTGTAGTTAACAAGTTGAAATGGTTTTCACCAGATTAAAAATACACATATTTTAGTCAACTAAATTTGCTTTCTATTTTTTTCGACTAAAACAAGACTAAATTTAAAAGAAATTGGATGACTAAAACTAAATCAAATGTTCTTGTCAAAATTAGCAATGACTGTAAGATAAAAAGCACTCAATATTGCACAAAAAAAATACTGAAACTGCAAGGTTGTGAAAGGTGATTCATGGTATAGCGAGGGACCACCACTTTACTCACTAAAATTAAAAATACTTAAAGGCAAGGTTTTTAGTGTTTTCTTACAAACGTGTCTCTAACAGAGCACCTGGCCCCCTCTAATGTTAGTCTGGAACCTCCCCTGGCAGCCTCTACTTGGTCCCCAGTTTTATACGGAGCCTTCTTAAAACAAAAACAACTTTCCAAACAATATTTGCCTCAAGCTGGAGTAATTAGTAACTTTCTTGAAAGTAACACAAGTTCCTGCGAAAAAAAAAACATTCAAAATAAAAATAAAACATTGCCTGTTTTAAGACAAATTAAAATTGCAGAAGTGCACATAGATAATAATAATAATAATAATAATAATAATAATAATAATAATAATAATAAGAAGAAGAAGAAGAAGAAGAAGAAGAAGAAGAAGAAGAAGAAGAAGAAGAAGAAAATCTTTTAACTTTCCACTTATTCTGTACATTGTAAAAGTGTAAAATGATAGCCATGTCAGAGGGATGGAAGCTGCACGGTCTGGCGCCATCTTGTGGCTGAAAGCACACACTTCTGAAAATAAGCATCAGACTCATTGCATAAATAATGTTTTTCAATAACGCTATGAGAGTAACTCTGCCTTAAATTTAAAAATAATTAATAAATCTCACTATTACTGAAGGTCCCAAATGTCCAAGGACATTTGCAAACTTTAATTTTAAAGGTTACTAAACAAAAGAGTAACATTTCTAAAAGCAAACTAAGAAATAGTTATATATTGGATGATGTCACAGCATTTGTTTTGTAAAAATCCGGAGCACATTGTTTTAGACACCGAGCCCCTCTGCACTCCCTCATCACATATGTAGCAGAAACAGCAGCCAGCAGAATGGAGGAGCTGAGGATGAAGGAAGCACCGCTGAGAAGGAAGGATGATACATAGTTTCCTGTCTGATCTACTAGCCAACCTAAAGAGAGAGGAAGAGAAAACAGCAATGTGCCAAGCAGTTTCATTTTATGTGTCATGGGTAGAAAACATTTAATTTTACCTCCAATTGGTGGGCTGACCAGATACGGAACAGCATGTAGGAAGTAAACCATTCCCAAGGCAGAGGTAAGAAGGGTGGAGCCCACAATGTCAGAGGTCACAACTGGTATTAGTGCTACATACGCACCATCAAAATATCCATAGAGGGAAGAAAATGGCACCAACAGGGAGAAGGAATGGAGGAAGGGTAGGAAGAGACAACAAAAGCCCTCCATGCCTATCGCCAGAATGTAGCTCAGGATGCGATACTGCCTCAGACACCTGGAGGAGAGGAAATCTGTAACTCTGATGCTGCAATTCATCACATGAGTGTTAAATAACAAGTACAACCTTTGTTTCTTGACTCACTTCCTGTCTGTTATCCATCCAAAGGTGATGTTGCCGACGATTCCACTGATTCCAAATATGGACATGAGGAACGCTGCGTGTCGATGCTCCACCCCTATGCTCAAGGCGTAAGGAACCAGGTAAACTAAAGGCACACTACAGCCATATGCCAAAAACAGGAAGGAGACAGACAGAATCAGGAAGTTGGGAATCACAAGGAAACCAAACTCCTCCTTTAACCGGAGACACAAGGACTGATCTCTGGATAACAACTGGGAGTTCACCAAAGGTTCAGTAGACACGGTTTCATCAAAGTCTACTGGTTTCACTTCAGCAAACTCTGGCATCTGCTTTTCTACATTAGCAAATGCTGTTGTGTAGTTTGGGTCAACGCTTTGCACCAGGTCTTCGACTATGCTGTCATTTGAAAGCATTGGGCGTAAAGCTTCCACCTCTCCTAACACTGTCTCCAGCTTGTTGCTGAACAAGAAGCATTCAGCCACTTTCACATCTTCCTCCCTTTTAAAAGGCAGCTTTGGTAGCAGCCTCATGTTCCCCTGAAGTCCTGTGTTTTCTTGTCTGAAGCTTTTAAATGCTCCAATTGCCATGATGACACTCTGTGTGTCCTTTAAATTGTGTAATTTCAGCAGTTTTTGCTCGACTTGCTCGCAGTTGGTAGCTGTTGGTTCAGTCAGTCCAGATTCCAGAGCTGCAGTACTGTAGGCTGTCTCCACCTTTGACATGTTGCTATTCCACACCCTTTAGATACAACAGGACAGAAGAAAAAGCACTTTTAAACAAACACTGAAGAGTGTTCAACACTTTAAACTATTGCTTTCAAACTGGTTTCAGTGGTTCCTGAGCCATAAATGTGAGCAACTTCACATTAGACAGCCCTCAGTAATCCTCTGCTGACCAAAAACTGCACTTAACTTTTGTGCATCTGTGGAAAACTGTTTTATGGCAACAACTGTTTACTGTGCCATTATCTCATTTAAAGGCTAGCAGGTAGCTTTTTCAGTTCACCAACCCAAAAAAGCAAAAAAATATTTAAATTAAATAAGAGGCTTGCTTTATTGCTGGCATCATGGTGGCACATAGAAGTAAAAGAGTAATGAAGAAAAGACCTAAAACCAGAGTGAAAATCGATGTGGCCTACACTCATTTGAGAGAGCTAAAGGACGTTTTGAATTCATGGACTGATTGTGACCTGGCTTTGTTGCTACTGACTTGTAAGTAATATTTTTTTGCCCAACAATGTGGATCTTTTTACTTTTTATTATTGGTTGGTTTGTGTTAGCATTAGCTTGTTGTCAGCGCTAGCAACAGCAGGTCCTAGCTAGCATGCATAGGTCAGCCCTGTATGGATATGGGCGCCAACAGGGTTTTTCCACATAAACTTTCAGGTTTTCAGAGGGACCCAGAGGGTTTGACTCATACATGGGTTGGTTATAATCTATGTGGCAAACCGCGGTGAGGCCACTATGTAAACTGCAGGCAAACCCTGTTGGCACTCATATGGTTTGCCTGTATATATCTATATGGGGCATACCTACGCATGCTAGCTGGGCTGCAAGATTGTTTATGATAGTTCTAGTTTCAACCAGCAGGGTGAAGAATTAGGAAACTTGTTTAGCATTGCTTTAAAAATATATGTATATATACTATATATGTATATTTTATTACATACTTACCAATAAAGAGTGTTCATGTGATCAACATTGAATCAAAATTTGAATAAAAATACGTTATTGTTAAGACCAAATTTGAAACAGACCTTTCACTCTTTTGCTCCAGTGGTCTCATCAAAGCACCACAAACACACAGGTTGGACACAAATCCTCCGAGGATGAGCAGAGCTCCTCTCCAGGAGTAATGCTCGATGAGCAGCTGGACTGCAGGAGCCAGAAGGAAGGTTCCAATGCCGCTGCCTGAAGACAAGGGGAGATTGGGCTTAATGGGATGGAAAAGACTGGGGGATAGAAGAAAATGGGAAAAGAGAAACAGAAGGAAGAAAAACCAGAAAAAAAAGAAGAGTGAAACAACATAAATGAAACAAATAGAAAAAAAACACAAAAGAGCTCAATGTAAATAAAGTCAGTACCAGACATAGCGATGCCATAGGCCAGAGCTTTCCTCTCATTGAAGTACCTTCCAACCATTGCTATGGCTGGTGTGTAGCTGAGAGCAAAGCCGAGACCTGTAGGGATGGATAAAGGGTACCTGCCAAATCTTAACACATCCCCACATGTTTGTGATGCAGTTATGCAATAGTTCCTTTTTTTTTTGTTTGAACTACATCAAGTCAGCATTTGATCTTTTTTTCAAACTCAAAGTTTTAGTTTTTGTTTTGGAACCAAGTGAAATCCCAAATTAAAGTGGCCAAATCGTCAGATTACTGAAGTGTTACACTGGTTTATGTGTCTGTTTGTACCTGTGATGATTCCCAGAGAAATGTAAAGGAATTCGAGGCTGGAGGCAAAGGAGCTGAGGACCAAGCCAGCAGAGGACAGGAGGCCTCCCAGGAAGACCGTCACTCTGCAGGATAAACGGTTGCCAAGGAAACCACCGAGAGGAGCTTGAAATGAAGTTTAAGTGAATTCTTAACAGATTTTTACTCAAGAAAACACATTTATTTTACCCATTTTATTCTTACAACTAACAGCTCACTTTCGGGAATCTGGTCAGACATAACATTATGACCACACGATGAATATCTATCACTTAATCAATGGTCCTGTTCTGAAGCTTTGAGGATTCTGGTCAGCATCTGCAGCATTCAGGCTGTGATGCACACAGACATTTAGAATTTCTGCTGATTTAAACCACAATTTAACATTCAAATGATCAGAATGGTTTGGCCACCCTTGGTCCTGTTGTGGTTAATTAAATATGTTTCCTTCTTTGGTAGATTTAAGTTCAAAAGCACAAGAGACAAAGTCTTCACTTCAAGAAAATAACACATTTATCCCATCTTACAGTATTTTCCTCACTCTACTCGATTCTGGTCATAATGTTGTGGCTGATCAACATGTTTAACTTGCAAATTCTGAATAAAAGGTCTGTCCTACCACACAGCATGGTTGTGGAGTCCATCATGCTGTGGATCCAAGCCGTGGAGGAATAATCCTTCTCAAAGTGCATCTGGAACTCCACAAAGAACATGGAGACACATCTAGAAAAATGGATGAGTAAAGGTTTCAGGCTTTATTAATCATTGTTCTTTTCATCCTCTCATGACCATCAAACTCTACTGAATCACTATCATCAAACTGTAGAAAATATTTAGTTCATGTTTAGTTCATGTGGAACAGAAGTAATCAGCTCAAACTGGAACTCAGATCAAGTTGTGACTTCAGGGTTTTGTACAAAATGCATTTTACATGATCAATGTTGGGAAATAAATAAGAAGTTTTGTTTAATCTGATTTGGATCTAAATGAGAATTAGTTCCATGTAGCTGACAAAATAAAGCTGAGCTGGATTTACGGTTTATGGACGCTGCCTTTATCTGAGAGCTCTGAACTCAGTCTTTCTGACTTTGTCTGTTACATAATGTCCAAAAGGTACTCTCTGGTCTTCTTACAAAGGGCACACACATAATGTTAAACTCTTTCATCTAATAAGTTATTAATTACTGTAAGAACATAGTGAAGTACAGCGGCTGCTCCTTCATACTGAAATTATCTGATAGGGATACTGCCTTAGGATATACGGATGGATGGATGGATGGATGGATGGATGGATGAATGATGGTTGGATGGGTGAATGGATGGATAGATGGATGATGGGTGGATGGATGGATGAATGGAGGCTGGATGGATGATGGATGGATGGATGATGGTTGGATGGATGGGTGGATGGATATAAGGATGAATGGATGAACAGATAGATGATGGATGGATGGATGGATGGATGGGTGGGTGGGTGAATGGATGGATAGATGGATGATGGTTGGATGGGTGGGTGAATGGATGGATAGATGGATGGATGGATGGATGGATGGATGGATGGATGGATGGATGGATGGATGGATGGATGGATGATGGTTGGATGGGTGGGTGAATGGATGGATAGATGGATGATGGGTGGATGGATGGATGGATGGATGGATGGATGGATGGATGGATGGATGGATGGATGGATGGATGAATGGAGGCTGGATGGATGAGGGTTGGATGGATGGGTGGATGGATATAGGGATGAATGGATGAACAGATAGATGATGGATGGATGGATGGATGGATGGATGGATGGATGGATGGATGGATGGATGGATGCTTGATGGATGGATGAATCGATGGATGATGGACGGACGGACGGTTGAATGATGGGACGTTTCTGCTTGTTTTTACTCTCAGACTCGTTACCTGGTGACGGCTCGAATGCAGATGGTTGCCAGGAAACATCCAGCAACTATCATCCAACCCCAGCCACCCTCTGGTGGGCTCATGACTGCAGACGACCTTCTGCCTCCCTCAGTCCTTCCCTCCTTTGTAACTGGCGCCGCCATCACAACTTAGTGAAGCACCTCCAGGCTTTAATGTTCTTCTGTCTAGAAATGCAGAGAACCTTCAACTGATGGAATCAGGTCTATAAAATGAATGGCTAACTTCCTGAAAGTTCTTCTTGTTCTTCTATCATCTCTTTTAGCTCCTTCATCCATTCTGAATTCCTCAGCCACTAGAAAATAGAAGTGAAACCAGGAATAAACAAATCATCTGCATGTATTTTGTGTTTGTCATTGAAGCTCATAGTGTTTAACCCTCCCACTGTCCTAATGGGTGTGACCCCGTGAGGAAAGTTGGCCATTGAGCAAGATTAATGGTTTATCCCTTGGGTCCACGTGGCAGGGGTGAGGAGTGAGCACCACCTCACCCCTGCCACATGGACCTCAAGTAATAAACCATCAATCCTGCTCAATGGCCAACTTTCCTCACGGGGTCACATCCATTAGGACAGTGGGAGGGTTAATTAGATTTTTGGGAGTTACAGTTAATAATTAGATTATTATAGATATAATTTTAAAATAAATAGTCATGTAGTCTTCAAACACTCAAACTAGACCTTAAACTGGTAAGTTCTGGATTTCTTTGAGAGTCACAGCAAAGGGTCTGAATACTTAGGACCACGTGATATTACAGTTTTTATCCTTTAATAAATCAGAGAAATGTCTTAAATTTAGTGTTGTTCTGTTCTGTTCTGTGCATTAATGAGAAAAAGATTAATTTATTCATTTTAGCAAATGGCTGCAGTTTAACAGAGAGTGACAAACTGACCGGGGTCTGAATCATTTCCGTGCACTGCACCTGCCTTCAGCATCGTTTTCCTTGATGGCATCCAGCGATGCAGTTATAGGTTACATCATGATCACAGTCCAAGGCAGAACCTCCCTATGTGCTCACATGTTTATCAGACTGACATCAGTTGAGTAATTCAGTATTTTAACCTGAAAACGTGGATTCAAAGCAGCTGAGCGAGGTTTCTGCTACCTGACTGTACGCTGATAAGAGAGCTGTTGTGCTGATGGATAAAAAGCTCAGTTAAGTTGTAAAAAGTTACATTTAAAACCTAAAAAAAAGAAAAGAAAAAAGGCGACCGACCAGTCGTGTTGAATGTTTTTTCTTGCAGTTCAAAGGTTTCTGTACAGCTTTTGTTGCTGCTCTGTTTGTTTTAAGAACGCTTATCTGTGCAAAGTCACAGGTCGCTAGGTTTACAGGTGTGTGTGTGTGTGTGTGTGTGTGTGTGTGTGTGTGTGTGTGTGTGTATGTGTGTGTGTGTGTGTGTGTGTGTGTGTGTGTGTGTGTGTGTGTGTGTGTGTGTGTGTGTGTGTGAACTGAGAGCATTAGTTAAAGGTTACTTAACTCCTACTGGATGGTAAACTGGCAATACACCATGAAATCAATCAAGTTAATTCAAAAATCACAGTAAATTAGAAAAATGGAGAGATTATTCTGTACTTTCTAAACCTATTTTAAAGCTGATAATAATACATTTCCATGCAGCTCATGCACTTTCAATTTTAGAGAAGTTACTTTAATTATTCAGTCAACTGCACTTTAAAAACATCTTACCATCATTCATTTAATAGGAAAATTGCAATTTTATAGATGTGCTCTAAGTTCATATAAGATATATATATATATATATATATATATATATATATAATTTTTTTTAATAAAAAAAATACAAAATAAGATAAAAAAGTAGTTGAAATGCAACAAACTGCTGGAAGTGAAGCAACAAACAGAATGACTGCAAGCTGAATAACATGCATGTGATTGGGTTGTACTCACAACAGCTCCCAGTTAGGCCTCTGCTCCTGTGAACTGTAACTTCATGGTCCAGATTTTTATTGTATAAATTCAAACAAAATTGCTTTTTCCAGCTGTTAAATGTCCTGCAAACACCGTGGAGGTGACTTGTAGGACAAATCTCTCTGCAAAGTAAAGATATGTAGAGACGAGGCAGGAGGAGGAGCAAGAAGAGGAGGAGAGGTCTGCAGCATCAGATAATAAAGTCTTACTGTTGTTGTTTTTTTTTTTTCATTTTTGCACTAATATTGTACAGTTTTCACTGTTTTTATTAAAAATGTTATCATTGTTGGTCTTTCATCAAGAATATTTTAAAGATTGGGTCTGTGACTAAACTCATTCAACTTCCAGGGGAAAAACATTTGCAAAATGTTCACCGTTGCAGTAGCAGAAAAGGTAATGAGTGACACAATCTGCTGATCTTTGAGTCCAGTCATTTTTGCTCCAGTACAGCTGCTTCAGTCTAAAACTAAAGCATCATAAATGTGTTGATTGCAACCCGATCGTTCAAGCTCATTTTCATCAAAACTCTTTTTAAAAAAAAGCTCATTTCTGTCTGTCTTTATATGGGTTTGTCTGTTTTATTTCAACTAACTTATTTTATCTTATCTTTTATTAGTGCATTCTGTCATTTCAAAGCATTTTTCTTCCAACAAACTTCTTAAAAGCTCAGTTTTTAAAACTAGTCTAAATTTTAGGAACAACTAACATCTTTGCTGAAATTAGTTTTCTCTGCAGGGTGGCTGGGCTATCCCTTAGAGGATGAGAAGCTCAGTTATCTGGGAGGGGCTCAGAGTAGACCCGCTGCTCCTCCACATGAGAGGAGCCAGTTGAGGTGCCTCCTGGATGCCTCCCTGGTGAGGTTTTCTGGGTACGTCCAACCAGGAGGAGACCCGAGGGAAGACCACGCTGGAGGGACTAGTCTCTTGGCTGACCAGGGATCCCCTCAGAGGAGCTGGTCCAGGTGGCTGTGGAGAGGGAAGTCTGGGCCTCTCAGTTTAGGCTGCTGCCCTCACGACTCAACTCCTGATGGATGGATGGAACTTACGTTATCTTACAGCTTAACAGTCTTTTTCTATATCCATTTTAAGATGTAAGGTTCATTCGGAGAGCCATCCATCATTTCTACAGCAGGTACGGAAAGCATTCAGACCCCCAACAATTGTTCACTCCTTGTTAAAGGGACTTTACAGAGTTTTGAATTTTTATGCTCGCGATTGCCCCCTCAGGCCAAAAGTGTAACGGCAGCTTCAATAGTAGGCTCGTGCATGAGGCACGCATGCTGTACGTGCACACTCCTTAACGAAAATAACAGCTGAGACAGTCCTGTGTGTGTGTGTGTGTGTGTGTGTGTGTGTGTGTGTGTGTGTGTGTGTGTGTGTGTGTGTGTGTGTGTGTGTGTGTGTGTGTGTGTGTGTGTGGCCTGGAGGCCAGGAGAACGTGCAGCTAATTAATTAAATAATTTGGTTCTGTACCTTTCTCTTCAGCACAGCGGACAAAGGTTTAAGATGGGTCAGTCCGTCAGCTTCACAGATCATTCCCTTCCCTTGCTTGAAAAATTGTTCCAAAATGAAAGTTGAACCCACATCTTTTTTATCTGTGACTTCAATGCCGTTTGGCAAGTCTCAATAAAAAATTTGGGTATCTTACTGTAAAAAAAATACCATTCATGTAAAAAATAAACACTAAAAAAATATATTCACATCCAGAATCAAACCCAGAACTTCTGCACGAGTGTCCGATGTTTTACCAGATGAGCTAAAGCACAAGTAATGTTCTTAGCATCTGTAATATTTATATTCTTGATTACAGCTGAAACAACATTCAAAGAACGATTCGGAGCGAAAATGGATATTTTGTTGCTAATTTGCAGGAAATATCTAGAAGAAAGTAGCTAAGGGTCCTCAGAAATGTAGCTAGGTTCATCACTAGGCATTAGGAAAGCGACAACGTCGCTGAGTTGGCACTGCCTCACTCTCTGCTGCTAAAGCTACTGATAGCAAATGCTACGGGCGATGCCTGAAGCAGCCTGCTCGACCCGAGCAACTCTCTTTTTCTGTGATTTTACAGAAAAACTGGCAATCACAGTAAAAATGCCAGGGCTCATTCTACAGGACCAGGGCATTGCAGGAGAATGTATGAAGAAGAAATTTATTATTTCTATACATGTTTTGACTGTCAAACTTCCATAATGCCCTTTTAAGTTGCAGCCATTTGCTAAAATCAAATTAACTCATTTTTTCCTTATTAATGTATGCACAACACTCCATATTGACAGAAAAACAGAATTTTAGAAATTTCTGCAAATTTATTAAAGAAGAAAAACTGAAATATCACATGGTATTCAGACCCTCTGCTGTCGCTCATATTAAACTCAGGTGTGTTCCATTTCTTCTGATCATCCTTGAGATATAGTCCTACATCTTCATTAGTCCAGCTGGGTTTGATTATACTGATTGGACTTGAGTAGGAAAGCCACACACCTGCCTATATTAGACCTTACAGTTCACAATGCAGGTCAGAGCAAATGAGAATCATGAGGTCAAAGGAATTGCCTGAAGAGCTCAGAGACAGAATTGAGGCAAGGCACAGATCTGGCCAAGGTTACAAAAATCATCTGCTGCACTTAAGGTTCCTAAGAGAACAGTGCCCTCCATGGTCCTTAAATGGAAGACGTTTGTGATGACCAGAACCCTTCCTAGAGCAGGCTGTTTCAGGACCTCTGACTGGGCCGAAGGTTTATGTGGCTAGGTGGAGAAACGAGGACCTGGGCGTGATTTGATCCCCAGACTCCCAGGTGAGTCACGCACACTGACCTGTCAGCCAAAGGAACATCCCCTTGGCTAAGTAGCCAGGGCGCATAATCAATCGGGTCACAGTGAGAGGACGATCACATTTACCTTCCAACGTGACAATGGCTCTAAGCACACAGCTTCACTGCAACTCTGGGACTGTTCTTGAATGGCCCAGCCGGAGCCCGGACTTAAACCCAGTTGAGCATCTCCTAAAAATGGTTGAACACCAACGTTCACCCAACCTGACAGAACTGGAGAAAATCTGCAAGGAGGAATGGCAGAGGATCCCCAAATCCCGGTGTAAGCTTATTGCATCTTTACCAAGAAGACTCGTGGCTGTGTTCGCTCAAAAGGTTGCGTCTACTTAATACAGAGCAAAGGGACTAAATACTTAGGACCATTTGATATTTCAGTTATTCTTTTTTAAGAAATCTGCATAGTTCTAAAATTCAGTGTTTTTCTGACAATGTTGTGTGTTCATTATTGAGGAAAAACTTAATTTAATTGATTTTAACAAATGGCAGCGACATCACAAAGAGAATAATTGACGGGGGTCTGAATACTTTCCCTACCCGCTGTATATTCTTCGTTTGTTTTTATGGAACACTAAACACACAATTGTTGTGATGAACAGGGAATGCTGACAAAATTGTTTATTGGAAAATATGACCACAAATCTACACTCACTGACAGATTAAATTAACTTTTCATTTGCTACACGTAAAGTTATAAAAAATAAATTCCAGAATGCGGTTTGAATCCAGGTTTAATTCTTTGTAAGAAAAAAATCTCTCCACTTCAGTACATACACATTGCACAAGGCAAGAAGCCATCTTTCATTTGTCAGTTTTCCATCTTTTTTTTGTTGTTCCTTTTCTTGCACCCACGTTAAAAGCAGCAGAACTGAGACCAACGACGAGCACTGGGCCGTGAGAACAAACATCCGGCACCGAAACCCAGCAGACAGAAAACATGCATCCCGTCTGAAGTCGCTGAGCATCTAACAAACTCAACGTTACGGTTCTCTATTCAAGATTTTCTTTTAGTGGTCAAAACGGATTCAGGAAGCTCGATTAAAGCCTTGAACATGAATAAGGGGCTGAAACTTTGAGTTAGTATTTAACACATGCAAGAATATCAGAAACGAGTTTTAATCAAATGGAGGAACGTGTTTTATGTGATGCGTCTTCTGTCTGCAGAGGGATTGTAGAGGAAGTGCCGAGTGTCACCAGGTTCTGCACATTTAAAACCACTTAGTCAACAGATTGCTGGTGTATATTATATTATTCTTAATATTATTTACAAATCTCTGTACAATCAAATACAGAACAGGCAAATCCGTCTGTCCCGCCAGTCAAGCATTCAAGAAGAAATTTAAAGCCTAGAAAATGCTCACGCAACAGAGTGTTGGACCTGATGATGAAAATCAGACAAAGCAGGAGAAGTTAAATAACACCTCAATTTCCACCAAACATGAATAAAAAGGTGACATTTGTTAAGCTCTCGTGCACTTTTTTCACAACAGAAACATTCCAAATAGTTGATTCTTTTAGCGACTACTAACAAGTATTACCGAAAAGGCTTTCTACACCTCTCGGTGCGTGATACGTCTAAAACATCCCGTTACGAGCACCTGCTTCGCTACAGTTAACAACAAAATCAGCAGGGACAGAAACAGGATTTCACAGAGTGGAGCAACGACAGGGTTGCATATCATTAAAACAAACATTTACAAAGAAGTGATTTAGGAGGGAAAGGATGAGTTTGTTAGAAAGATCAAAGATTAACACGGTAGTTACTGCATAGCTTGTTAGTTCACCCATTTAGTTGGTGCTTTAAGCTTCATGGGAATACACTCATCAGATGGTCCCAGAGGGAAATAAAAACATTTGTGATTAAAAACAAAAAATAAACTACAAACCAAAAAGTTGCACCCAAAAATACAATTTGAACATCTGCTGGTTTGACGCTGGATTAGGAGCATTTTAGGTTGCTAGGAAACTAACATAAAACTTACAAAAGCACAATTAAAATGGGACGAGCTCACAGGATTTAAATTAAAGTGTGTGTCATGAATATCCTGACAGAGTCTGCAAAAATGTTCCCTTTCAAAGGCAGCACTGACCAAGGCTCTGAGGGACAAACACAACACACCTTGAAGGCAACTGGACTGCTTTGGATTCCTGAGGATGTTTCGATTCTCATCAAAGGTGCTTAACAAGCTGAAACTACCAATGAAAACCCCTCCTCCCCCAGGGAGTCGCTGAATTCGTTATGTCCTATTGTGAGGGGAATGATTGTATTGATTTGATGCAGGAGGGTGTGACCTAAACATCTGGCTCACACCCTCCTGCATCTAATCAAAACAACCATTCCCCTCACAATAGGACATAACGAATTCAACAACTGCTCGGGGTAGGGGTATTCATATGTAATCTCTGCTCGTTTAGCAATGATAGACTGCCACAATTTCTAAGCTCGGCTCCTCCATATTCCAATCAGAAGCTCCTCAGATGAGAAGCAAAGTGACTTCAAGAAATCAAAAAGGTCCAGCTGCCTTCATTCGATCTCCGTCAGATTGCCAAGACCTGAAGGACTGAGAACCCTCACCAGCACAATACACGTTCAAATATTTCACAGTGAGACTTTCATAAGCGCTGAAAATTACAAAGTGTGCAAAATTATTTCTGCAGACGGATCGTGGAGAAATTCACACATTTAAAAACAATCACACAGGTTCTGTGATGCCAACAAAAACAATAAATCAGAAAAAAAATGAGAAAAATGTTCCCCAGTAGAACAAACAAACAAAAATAGCATGTACAAATTGAGAATTTTGTTAGTATCTAAAGGTCGATGCAGCCAATCAGACGTCCCACAGTCCTGCAGGAGGGGCAGGAGTTATTGTTTTTGGAATTCTGACACATGCCCACGCTAAACTTCGGTTTTACAGTACGGTCACAAAAACATAAAGAGCTGATGGTTGAAAGATGCATGCACATTACAAAAACAAGTGAGTTTCAGCAGGAAAATCATAATGAAGGCAAAGGGCACCAAGGTGGCGAAACACAGTAAAGGCAGCCGCGATGATTTCAGAGTGACCGGCTGGGTTTTACGACAGCGCGGCACCTGATGGATGCAGGTCACTACAAGTCATCCAAACACGAGTTGGAAAAAGGCAAATAAAAGAAAAAAAAAACATGGTTTGTGTCACAGTTCACAGCGTTGTCACAGCTGGGTAGAAACGTGATATCAGGAGGGATAATTAGAAGAAAAACATCCCTTTAAAAATGACTTAAATACTGGTAGTATCTCCTCACAACGGCTGGCTTAATTTAACATGTTTGTTACTGCCGATTGATTTGGTGTGGATAAAAACCACTTCAGAGAATATGTGAAACAAAGCAACAGCGTAGCAGCAGACCTGTTGTTAGTGAGAGGGTCAAAGTGTAGACAGCAGCAACAGCTGATTTCTGTCAATGAGACCTTCAGAACACTTGCTTATAAGAAAGCCCTGATGAGGATAACAGATGTGTCCGCGCTGCAGGTGAAACAGAAATAACCACAGATGAAAGGCGATTAAATGAAGCAGAAACTCCACCCCCGGTGAGTAAAGGCATGTCGGACACAGCAGAGTCCTGCTTTGACAACAGAGATGAAGGCTGTCAGGATCCAGGCATAGAAAAGGTTAGGGTGCCTGCAGCATCCCTATGAGATCACAGGACAGGTAAATACACTTGTGGTCAGTTTGTCCCCAAACTGCTTTACATAAGAAGCCCACTGGAGATGAATCACAAAGCTACAGCTTTACACAATACCGGCCACATGTGTGATACGCCGTTTAAACTCTGCATGAAAAATGCAGATCAGATCCGTTTGATGCTCTCAATTCAACGACAAACGTTCTAAACACGTTTCCAGCTCTAACACATGAGAATATTCTAAATGACAGAGTAAGTTTAGCCAAAAGCATCATGGTCTCCTCTGTTTTAATTATTTTGCATCTGCATTATAACTGAGGCGCTGGAGCCACTGGATACGACGCGTTCCAAATTCATTTTGCAAATTGCATTAAAGTGTTATGTGTAAATTTTCAATTAACCTCGTGGCTGTTTGGATCACCGAATGTGGAGTTTCTTACAAACCACTGTCGATGGTTCTTTCTGTAGCAAAATTGTCTTCATTTATGAGATTGCACTGTCTAATGCTACAGGGAATACCTCGCTATCATTAGCAGCTATGTGCATTAAAGGAGATACACCTATGGTGCAGCCTCCATCCTCCCCAGATCTCAAGCCTCTGAGTCGTTGGAGCATCCTCTAGCAGGAGCTCTACGAGGTTGGGAGGCAATTCTGACACCCTGAAAAGAAATCCAAGCAGAAACTCTCCAAAAACAACTGATGTAAGAGTTGTGAAGCAGCTATTTAAAAAAAAATGATGTTCTGGATTGAAATAGCTTTTGATTTCAGAAAATTTGCATAATCATTTGGAACACGGCCACACTGCACAACCCTGCAGAATCCAAACGAGGGCGCAGAATGGCATAGAAGCCAGAAGACCGAGAATAAAAGCAGAGAAAGACAAAAGATCTGGTAGAAAAGCACTTCACTCATAGCCGAGTTATGGAGCTCTAGCCTGGAACCAGTAATGCAAAGATTTGGTCGCATCATCTCAGACTCAGCTCAGCACAAAGGACACTCAGCAGGAAAAAGGAGAGACGGACAAAAAGCGCAGGTCATGTGCAGAGGAGCAAAAAACGGAAATAAAATCGGTTTATTTGCCTTCCACAAGGAGGCAGGTGAGTCAACTAGATTTGGCTTCAGTGCACTCCTTAGGTAGTAGGGTGAGTGACTATCTGTGCAGCAAAAAGGTAGGCAAACCCCCATAATAAGGTCTCTGTGGCTGCAGAAGTACGATATCCATAAGTTACAGGTGGAAAAAGTCATATCAGCTGCACAGATACTCATCAGATGTCCCACCGTCCCAAGGATGTAATGCTACAGTAGTTCACACAAACACCTTTTCACACCCCCACAAAAAAATATTAAACACTAAAATCTTAAAATACCTCATCTCTGTATAGTTTCTGACAGGGGCTGATCACAGGAAACATAAATTAAAGACCACATTATTAAAATTCTCTGATAGAAGGACTCTAGGAGACGAGCGTTAGCGGCTATCGCTATTTACTTTATTAAAATGGCTTTTGTCAGTGTCTGTGGTCCTCTCTTAGTCTCCCTCGGAGAGGTCGGCTTTAAACACAGTTCAAAGTTGATGACATCACCACGTTGGGGGTTGGAGGCTGAGATGGATCGATTCGACAGGATTCCCCTCACAGGTCCTCCGTCGTATTTAGCAGCTCCATCAGCGCTCCCACCGCTCCGAAATAACCCTGGAACGAGGTCACAAGGTCATCATTTAAAGGGGTTAAGAAAAATCCACGGAGGACAAAAGTTTTCCCCAAAAACCAAAACTGCAGCATGAATAGTTGTTCAGTTATTTATTTAGGATGCAAAGTATTGCAGCATAATGACCCGTTATCCTCCTTCTAGTCACCATGGAAACGCGTTTTGTTTATTGTGCACAGAAAAAAAAGCCCCAGTCGCAACATTTAGTTGTTTTCAGGAAGAATAAACAAACGGGAGGATCATGCGGCCCGCGTCATGCCACTTAAACTCGTCCGACATGCTGTTGTCCCACAGCTTGCTTGTCGATTGGCCGCTTACCTCGTGTTCCAGGAAGAGGGCTTTCAGCTGTCCTTTAGACCAGAAGTCCATGGCATAGGCGAGCAACTTTGTCGAAAGTGTGTTGATCCGGAGGAAGTTCCCAACAAACACCACGCGCTCGATTTTCTGATTTTAGTCAGAAAAACAAAAAAAAAAAACCCAGTCTTATTTATGCACATAAGATTAATATTTAAGCAATTATAGTTTCCCTCAATCCATTATCTTCAAGTCAAGCATTTCTGTTCATTTGTATCCAGAATGAAGAAAAACTGGGAAAAAAGGGAATTTGAGAGAAATAAATAGCTCAGAGAGTAAACTACAGGATGTGGAATAAAATAGGGATTTAAAACAACAAAAGGCAAAAAAGAAAAACCCACAATGGTTTTTATCAGACTATGGATTCATTTGACAGACCAAAACAAAAAGCAGATTTTGTGAATACTGTTCCATAATTTTAATTGCACTATTAACAGACACCGGTACACTGTCGGTGACGGCATCAACTCGTTTTGTTTAATTTGTGTGTGTGTGTGTGTGTATCAGGGGAAATGTTTTTGCATAGAAACTTAATCTGAAAACAAGTGTAGTTCTTCCTTTCAACCACTAGATGGTGGTATAGATCTGACAGACCATGTGTGTTCTACCCTAATCAAAGCAATTACAACCAAATGTTCACTTAATAAAGTAAACAGCAACCCAAAAAGTTTATTATGCTGACAGAAAATTTGTATATTCAATATAAAAAAATATTTGCAATAAACTAATGTTTTTAGTATTTCTGTGACTGTTTTGATTTTGCTAAACGAGAAGATAATGTCAGGTTTTATTTATTATTAAAACTAATTCCAGACCATTTATGTTAAAGAAAGTGGTGGATACCTGTCCCCGCTGCAGTTCTGTGTGCAGTGATAGCCCTGTACAATGCTGCTTGATCGCCATGCCACAAGGCAACACTGTAAAGAAGCTCACAGCACACAGACTCCCGACTGATTCTCCACTGTGGAAAAATCAATGCTGCTGCCTTTAGACCTTTCACTTATTGCTCAGAGTAATTATAAACCATTTAAACACAACTTTCATTTGTAACGAGACCCATAATTCATGCAGCACTTTATTAGTGACTACAGTTTAACAATTTCTAGCAAACTAGGAAATACCAGGTTGCCACACACACACACACACACACACACACACACACACACACACACACACACACACACACACACACACACACACACACACACACACACACACACACACACACACACACACACACACACACACACACACACACACACACACACACACACACACACACACACACACAAAGAATGTTGCTCATAGCTCAATGTGAGCTGTGTGTTTACCTCATTGACAGCACACATGCGTGCTATGGATCCTATGTTATTTGTGATGGTGACCAGCGTAGCTCTGGCCAGATCCTCCTTACTGATGCTGTCTCGCTTGTCTTTGCACATCATGTGACCAAAACTGTAGGAGAACAAGCCACACAAAGTGAAAAAGCTGCTCTGCATAGAACCTAAACACTGATTTTATCGTTCGTCCTGGCCGCAGATCAAGTTCAAACTCTGAGCAAGACGAGGCTAATAAAACAACCTTGGGTTGAGTCTTGTCGTGAGTGCCGTTTATCACCGAGTGTTTTGTTTTAAGAAATAACAGAAGGGAACATCATAAAAGTGATCATAATGTGATAAAGTTGCAGTTTTATGGATTAAACTTTGAACTGAGCTGCTGTGTTTGTTACCATGAGCAGACATCGTCTCACATGCTCTACGGGTAGTTTGTACAGATCCTGGTAAATATTCCAGCTTTAATGGTGTAATGTGAGAAACCTGCTATTTACTATTCACAAATGATTTAATCCACTTTCTATAAGCAGTCTAATAATATGGATGGAATTACCTCGTTAACAGATCTGTAGAGGTTTTATTGAAGGAGAAAAGGATAATAGACTCCATTGGCTCTCACTGACCTGTTACGTTCAAAAACCTTTTATATGAAGTCAGCCTACATCACAGTGATGTCATACGCTCACCTTGACGCGACAGCAGAGCCCTGCAGGCCGAAGCGCTCGTAGTCTCCCCCGTAGATATCTTTAACCAGTTTGTCCACGCTCGTAGAGTCGCCCTTGCTGGCCATTTCTAACGCCTCCTCAAACGTCTCGCAGCCCGTCAGGAGGCAGCAAAGTCCCAGGAATGTGCCGCCTCCCAGACTGTGAACACAAGGGAAAGATGCTGAGTGCAATTATGGAGATACAAGGAAGGCTAGCCTGTGTTAAAGGGAGACTAGGCAGTTTTGGCCTGTTTTTAGCACCCCCTAGTGTCCGTTTGTAGAACCAAAAGCAAAATCTCCCATAAATTCTCTAATTTTGGCCTGTTTTACATTAGCTGGTCTCTAATAGTGGCCGACTTCACGGCACAAACCCAGCTGCAGTTTTGATAACTTTAAAGTACTACTGATCTTAAAATAATTTAATAAATAGCGTACTCATTGTTAATGAATTAAGAGTCTCACAAAACACGACGGCAAGTCTGATCATGTATAAACAATAGAGTCCCTTCCCGCGTCCTGCTCTCAAGTCCCGCGTGATGTTGTGACTATTGCGCAACTTTCCAAGAAGCGTTCAGCTGCGCGAGCTGAGTGACCACTTGACTTCTCAAAATCACCTCCAGTGTTCCCCAGGCTTTATTTACTTTGTTGACTGGGTGTAAAAATGCCCAAATTTCATGTGATCGAGACAAAAACAAACGTTTTATTTTATTCGTGTCCCGAAAGTTGTGTGCTACAAAGGACTTACTGAAACTTACGGAATAGTGGATCATAATCTCCGGCTGCAAGATGAGCAGAAATGGAACAGAAAATGCTAGTTTACAGTGATCACTTCAGCACGGTGGGCTGCATGGTGGCGCAGTGGTTGGCACTGTTGCCTCGCAGCACAAAGGTCGCAGGTTCGAAATTCGGCTGCGGCCTTTCTGCGTGGAGTTGTGTGTTCTCCCCATGTATGCGTGGGTTTCCTCCGGGTACTCCGGTTTCCCCCACAGATCACAACATGCCCTATAGGTTATAAATTGTAAGTCGCTTTGGATAAATTGTCTGCCAAATAAATAAACATAAACATAAGGATTTACTAAAGGTTTTTATGGCGTTTTATTCAACAACAGGTAAACAGATACTGTTTTCACATGTCCTCACTGCAAATAGCTTGTAGCGTGCTAATGTTTTTAGCAGTTAGCTCGGTGTTGTAACGTGGAAATGCGGAGGATGAGGATTAAACAGTTGGGAGGATTTCATTTTTTATTTCAAACCAAACGAGACACGAACTTTGAAGCGGTAAGGTGTCGGTTGCCTTTTGTTGTGAATCAATAACCTAATTATCACCAAGTGTTTACAATGCACTACCTGCATGTTTGCTACGTTTGTTACCATACTGGGATTTAGCCTGAAACAACGGTGTTTGTTGTAAATGTTCTATATGCATACGTACGTACAATGTTAACTGTACAATTTCAGTAAACAAACCGAGTGTTTTATAGGTTCAATTAGACACAAAATCTTGTTATGATTCATTCTACTGGTAGTTTATTTTGCTCAAATTGAAATTGGGGCCTGCTTCTAATTCTGGCCTCCTTCCAGTAAAGGCCAGAACCAGGATGTGCTTGAGTAAATAAAGGCCCAGGCGTGTATTAGAGGAATTAGGGTATCTCTATCTTTTTAACACCTTAATCTAACCGTCTCCCCAGCCTTCCCTAGTGTCTATAGAATCAAACTGGCACAAATCAGCTGTGTTCATGATCTAAAACATGCAGGAAACTTGCTGGAAGCAGAAAGAAGCACCAGGTATGTAAACTTTATTTTCTTTAAGTCCCAACAGAGCGGCCCGCCAGGCTGAAGTTGCAAGTGAAATATTCTGGCCAGATGGGGCAATAGGGGCTGGGTGGCCTTCCATTAACCCTGTAAAGGGTCACTTAAGCACATCCATCCATTCATCGTCCATACCCGCTTGTCCATGCAGGGTCGTGGGGGGCTGGTGCCTATCTTCAGCAGTCTCTGGGCAGGTAGACAGGGTACACCCTGGACAGGTGGCCAGTCCATCGCAGGGCAACACAAAGACACACAGGACAAGCAATCAAGCACGCACACACACACAAGGACATTTTAGAGAACCCAATCAAACCGACAGTCATGTTTTTGGACTGTGGGAGGAAGCTGGAGAACCTGGAGAGAACCTATGCTTGCACAGGGAGAACATGCAGAAAGACCCCAGGTTGGGAGTTGAACCCAGGACCTTCTTGCTGCAAGGCAACAGCACTAGCCACCGCACCACTGTGCAACCCCATTTTAGCACATACTGGCTCAAGAACATCATTTAAAAATGAGCGTCAGCTCTGAAGATGTTTGCAGCCACAAACAAAACCGTCAGCGAGGTAAAGAAAAACCTTATCTGTGCTTAAAAAAGAACCAAAATGGATTTAAAAATGAGTTGGTTAAAAACAGCAAGAACAAGAAAAAATTCACCTCTGATAGCTTAACAGACGAACAGCCACCTTTCTTTTCTCTTTTCATACCAAAGATCAAACAAATATGCAGCGAGGCAAAAAGGCAGCACGCACACACACACACACACACACACACACACACACACACACACACACACACACACACACACACACATACACACACACACACACACACACACACACAGAGTCTGAAGTTTATCAGCTGTGACTGATAACAAGGAGGCTGAATCTACTGTAAAAATGACATAAAACCTCCAGACTGGGAGGGACTGGTTGGTTTCTCACTGGCTTTTACAGCCCAGTATCTCATCAGATCTTGTTCTGCTGTTACATAAGTACTTAGAAACATATGATTGATTTGGTTCCATTACAAAGGAATCTGCTGAGCAAAATGAGTTCAACAACTAACACTAAACTTATCTGAGCATAACTTTGCTTTTTGATAACAGCACGTGTTTTGGTTCTCCGAGTCACGTACAGTACATCTACATCATCTTTGGTAATCTCAGCAGCTACGTCTGGATCAGAAGGTAGAAATAAATGATCTTTGTTTAAGGACAAAAGCCTGAACGAGAACTGGCCGTGAGAGATTTTAATGTCCTTGTTTTACCTCTGTCTGAATGTATTTGTACGCGTTCATGTAAAACATAAACACCAGCTCACCTTCCAGAATAAATTAAAACAGAAGTGTGTGTGCAGAAATGTACACACGTCCTCCTCACCTTGTTCCAGTTACACGCTTGTAGTCGTTTTCCGAGTACACAGCCAGTATGGAGACTCCGGAGCCGATGTTGACCAGCAGCATTGGGAAGGGGTTGTCCAGGTTGCAGGGCCTCTTCACACAGCTGTCCGTATCTGACGGGTTCTGGAAGTAGTAGCACTCTGGGTGTCCATTGAAATTAACCCGGTCAATAAACAGCAGGCCACGGATGAGGCAGTCCAGCTCGTCCAGCTTTAGCAGCTCCAGGTCAGCCATCTGCAGTACATTTGAGGTTGTTACACCACAAAGACAGTTTAACCACTTACACAGGATATAGTTCTAGTACTTTCAGTTTAAAAGCCTGATTTGGGTCAGTACGTGCTGCAGCACCAAGCTAAAACTACAGGTAAGCTCACTGAACTCAAGTTTACAGGCAAAGAGTTAAGAAGTAACTAGAAAAAGGTAGAAAGGAGCAGATCTGTTGTGACAGCATAGACACAATACTTGATAAATCAGAACAAATATGAAGAAAGAGAAAAATCTAAGTGAAGTGAGAAATCTACGCCCTTAAAACTCAAATGGTAAAGTTCTGACTGATCGGTCATCTTTAATCGATCAGTACTTTCTCACCGTTCTGAAGTCGTTCTCAAACTTGTACGCCCCGCCCCCCGTGGCGCAGAGCATGGTGTGCAGGCTGGAGAAGTTCTTGTCTCTTCCCATCTGAATGAAGCGAGGCATGGCCTGCGTCGGGAAGCGGATAAAGTGCAGGTTTCCTGTCCTGCCACACATGGTCATGTTCCTCAGCTCCAGGTGGACGTCACGAACACCTGTTTTACCTGAGGTAAGGCGGTAACACGTAGAACACACGCCATCGTTTTATTAAAGACAAACACAGTAAAACGTGTTTGGATTTCTTTTTACGGAGAATTCTTGACTAGCGAACAGTTACCACTGAGCGTACATACCGTAGGCCACGTTTGAGGTAAGATAGCGGCGAATAGACTTGAGGTTTTCAACTTCTTCTTGTTCTTCTTCTGCAGTGATATCGACTGGCTCAAAGTACACCAGCTTCACCAGGGTCCCTCCGATGTCCATCCCAAACCAGGGGAAGGCTGGAGAGGAGAGGAAAACTCAAATTAACCTCTTTCCAACAGAAGGTAATCGGCGTGTAAGAAGAAACTGAATGATGTCATGTCATAGAGCTGTGTCTCATCATGGCTGGAATGTGAGGCCACAACACTTTTCTGCTCTAAATCCAGGATGCTAGAGGACAGCAGTAGCTCAGGAGGTAGAGCGGGTTATTCAGCATTCAGAAGGTTGTAGGTTTTAACACCAGCTCCCACCAGAAAATGCTACTGTTGTGTCCTTGGGCAAGACACTTAAACCTCCTTGCCTGCTGGTGGTAGTTGGAGGGACCGGTGGCGCCAGTTAGCTTCTGTCAGTGTGCTCCAGGGCAGCTGTGGTTACATCGTAGCTCATAATTACCAGTGTGAATGTGTGGCCATTTACCGTTTAGATGACTTGTGATAACTACTTTTAATTGTGCTGTTATTTGTTTCGTCTCTGGGATTTATAAATCTATTCATCAACTATTTAAAAAGGTTTAGTGCGCTGATCGAACAGCATGTCACATTAATAATAATATTTTAGTCATATTGGTGTTTTCTTTATTTAATACGTTTGGTAAAATCCTGGGATCAACATGACGAATACAATAACATCTTCTCATCCATCAGGCCAGGAAACAAAAAAATCAAACGCCAAAATGCCAAGAGCGAATGTTGCTATGGAAACAAGTTGCCCTCCCCTCCCCCACCATCTCTTCCTTTCTCTGTCTCTCATATTCTCCTCAGTCTCCTATTTTCTCTAGCTGCTACTCTCTACACACACACACACACACACACACACACACACACACACACACACACACACACACACACACACACACACACACACACTCACACTCACACTCACACTCACACTCACACTCACACTCCATCTTCCAACAGACCTAACCCACTTGACACACACACACACACACACACACACACACACACACACACACACACAATCCATCTTCCAACAGACCTAACCCACTTGAGACACACACACACACACACACACACACACACACACACACACACACACACACACACACACACACACACACACACACACACACACACACACACACACACACACACACACACACACACACACAATCCATCTTCCAACAGACCTAACCCACTTGAGACACACACACACACACACACACACACACACACACACGCACACACACACACACACACACACACGCACACACACACGCACACGCACACCATCTTCCTACAGACCTAACCCACTTGACTCTTACAATTAAAGCGATGCTCACCAAGAAGAGAACCGATCCTGCAGAATGTGTTTAATGCATCATGATGCAAAAAGCTTGAATAAAATCTTAGTTTTATTTTGCTGACTGAGACTGTCTGTTTGGATGATTAAAATGTAAATAAAATTAAAAAAAAACATTATTTTCTTGCCTTTAAATATGTGAAAAGTGAAAACTAAAGTAGTATTTGCCTGATGCTTAAAATTCCAAGAGGTGCGCTTACTGAATGATAGAACAATCACATAATGCCTAATATTTAAATGTAATAAGAACAGATAATTGCCTTACCTAAATTATGGAAAAAATGGTGGAATTGTTTTGATTGTGTTAATAATAAGTACTTTTGCTTACACAACGAGTCAATTTGTTTCAAGAAATGCCTAAAAAATGTAAAAACATCAATCACAATTTAGAAAACACCTCCCAAATTAAAATATATGTTTGGTAACAATATTTTTATGCTTGTAACATAAGAACAATTTTTAGAAGCTACAAGCATAAATGACCCAGTTCTGTTTGCACAAGCAGTTTGACAAACACCAAAGTTCTGACTGAAAAGTAGATGTTTCATAAGCAGACATGATGACACGCGGGGGTTACTCAGGGCCAACATAAAGACAACCTTCTATTATTTGATACATTATATTATAGACCACTATCTAACCTTCCATTTTTATCCAAAGTCCTGGAGAAAATAGTGGCCATCCAAGTATGTGAGCATTTAAACACTAATGCTCTGTTTGAGGAATTTCAGTCTGGTTTTAGAGAGTATCACAGCACTGAAACTGCATTAGTGAGAGTTACAAATGATATTCTCATGGCCTCAGATAAGAATCTTGTGTCTGTTCTAGTCTTGTTAGATCTCAGTGCTGCTTTTGACACAGTAGATCACAATGTTCTTTTAGAAAGACTTGAACATGTTGTAGGGATCAAAGGAACAGCGTTAGGCTGGTTTTAATCCTACCTGTCTGACAGATTTCATTTTGTAAATGTACATGACAAATCGTCTTCATACTCCAGGGTTACTTGTGGAGTACCACAGGGTTCAGTGCTTGGACCAATTCTTTTTACTATATGTATGCTCCCAATTGGTAAAATCATTAGACAGCATGGGATAAACTTCCACTGTTATGCTGACGATACTCAGTTATATTTATCCATTAACCCTGATGAACCTAATCGGTTGGGTAGATTACAGGCTTGTCTTGAGGACATAAAAAATTGGATGACTCTAAACATTTTGCTTTTAAATCAAGACGGAAGTTCTCATCTTTGGACCAGAAATCCAGAAAAGGAAATTGCTTAGCCAATCGCCTGACCTGAATGTTCTCGGAGATTAATGTAATGCCAAAGTAAGTAACCTTGGTGTTATCTTTGACCAGGACATGTCATTCAAATCCCACGTTAATCAGGTTTGTAGGATTTCCTTTATCCACCTTCAGAATATTGCTAAGATTAGAATCATCCTTTCCAGGAGTGATGCTGAAAAACTAGTTCATGCATTTATTACATCAAGACTGGATTACTGTAATTCATTACTCTCAGGAAGTCCACAGAATGCAGTTAAAAGGCTTCAGCTTGTCCAAAATGCTGCAGCTAGAGTTCTGATGAGAATTAAAAAGAGAGAGCATATCTCTCCTGTCTTGGCTTCCCTACATTGGCTGCCTGTTAAATTCAGAATAGATTTTAAGATCCTTCTTCTCACATATAAAGCTCTTAATAATCAAGCTCCATCATACATCAGTGATCTGATTGTTCCATACGTTCCTAACTGAGCACTTCACTCTCAGACTGCAGGTCTACTGGTGGTTCCCAGAATATCTAAAATTAGGATGGGAGGCATATCTTTTAGTTATCAGGCTCCTCTCCTGTGGAACCAGCTCCCAGCCTTAGTCCGTGAGGCAGACACCTTGTCTACTTTTAAGACTAGGCTTAAAACATTTTTATTTGATAGGGCCTATGGTTAAAATCTGATGTAAGACTAAATCTGGACAAGTGGGGGAGTAGAGGGAGGTGGAGTGTACAGTCGGTAAAGACGGCTCTCCCTTGCCCTGCCTCCAACATGCCTCCATCTAAATAGGATAGATTATCCAGAGTTATCTCTGTAGTTATGCTGCTATAGGCTTAGACTGCTGGAGGATACACTGACCACTTTTCACACTCTACTACTTTCTTCTACAATCTGCTCTTTAACTGTATTATTTCCTGCTACTTCAGCTGTTAACTTTATTTTCTATCTAAGTGTTTTTCTCCCCAGAAGAAGCTACAATGATGTTCTGCTGAGCTGTGGTGGCCTCATGGAGGGGGCTATCGTCTAGCACACTGCTGCTAACCACTTAAACATTCTCCCTCTCCTGATAATAACTTTTTGCTTTCCTTGACGTTGGATGTGCTACTACTAGTTTATCCGTTTAATTATAGATCCACTAGGATAAATACAATAAAGCTCATCTCTCACCAAATAAAATATTTACTAAGAAATCACAATATAACTATAGACACATTACTTTGTTTTTGTGTGTGTGTGTGTGTGAGTGTGTGTGTGCGTGCGTATCTGCTCTGTCTTCTCGATCCCCAGTGAGTCGTGGAGGATAGCTGCTTATAGGAGGTTTCTTCCTGTTGAAAGGGAGTTTTCCTCCACTGTCGCTATATGCTTGCTTGGTATGAGGATTGCTGTAAAGTCACTGACACTAGTCAGTGACTTGATGCAATTTGCTGGGTTCCTTATATAGGAAACATTATTTCTGATTGGCTTAATGAACTGACCTGAAATGGTTTATTATGTGAAGTGCCTTGAGACGACTCTTGTCGTGATTTGGCGCTATATAAATAAAATTGAATTTAATTTAATTGAATATAGATCTTCGTGTTTTACTCGTTGGCCTACAGGACTCATGCCACTGAATACAGTCAATATCATCAATGACCAATCAGAATGTGCAATGTTGAAAACAATGCAAACCTTGTGACTGCACTCAAGACAACTTTCATTCACTGAAGCATTTGTTGTGAAAAGCAGCAGCATTCAATGAAGGAATGTGATGAATCCATCAACTCTGTGCATGAAGATGGACCAGTCCCCAGAATCGACAGGACTCGCCAACGCCAGGGTCTCGCATCAAAACAAACCTACTCATGCAGAAAAATCTGTTCGTCTGGACAACTTCTAGAACCCAACACAGGATATTTAAGAATAAGTGTTTCTTGAACTTGTTGCATAATTACATTAAATTCAGTAACTGAGAAAATTTGCATTGATTATTAGATAAACCAGTGGTTCTCAATCCTGGTCCTGGAAGACCGGTATCCAGCGTGTTTCAGTTTAACCCGGTTTCAACCCAACACAACTGATTTCAATCAGCAGGTAACTAACAGGCTTCTGCAGAGCTTGATGAGCTGCTACACAGGTGACTCAACCACTGAGTCAATTGTGTTGGAGCAGAGAAACCATTAAAACATGCTGGATACCGATCCTCCAGGACCAGGATTGAGAACCACTACCAACACATTCTCACACCCAAAGCGTCAAAATATGACGCGTGTGACCAAGCCTCAATATATGACGATTCGGAATGCCCCACCGCGTCAGGAGACGATGATCAGGGACACACTGATGACGCACCATCCCAGAGCGTCGGTATCCAACACCGGTGGTGAGACGGACATTAGAACAACTTGTGAACTACTTAACCTTCCCCTCACCCCAATCCTAACCTTAAGGTC